AGGTTCTGCTGCAGATGTAAATGTTAATGTTTAAACGGGGCCATCTGCTGTGATTGGTTGGGGTGAGAGAAGGAAGACAGGATAAAGACATGCTGTGGAAGAGAGACAGTAATTGTGCACATACAAGACCTGTTTAAATTTCAGAGATGTTACACTAGTTCATTTCCTGTTTGTCAGGGTTTGCGACACGCGTCCTAAAACAGTTTCAGCTACTGCAGCAACCTGATGACACGTCAGCACGACGTGACCACACTAACATCATTCACAGGTAATGTGATTTGTTTTTGAACGCCTTGCTCCATTTTTATACTCCGGGGATGGAAAGCATCCTTAACAAACCTGCTAATTCATCACAATTCAGGGAAGGTGAGACGAGCGCAGCCGGAAAACAACCCGACCGGAACATTTTGGGAGTCGTGTTTGGGAAAGTGATTTTCCCTGCAGCACCAGGACAATACACTGGATCCCCTACGTGGTCTCCTCTGTAACAGTCACTGTTCATGCAGAAGTATGAATGCCAATGACGTCTACATCGATTCAGCATGTGTCAGGACCAGAATTTACCCTCTTCTATTTGCATATTTCCTGATTATTCGTGTGTGTAAATTGCAAGTAATGGGTAAGAAAAACAACCTTTACACTGGCAGCAGAGATCGGAGACGCATTGTGTCCTCCTGACTCATTTGAGAAAAACAAAGGATCTGTCATATTTTGCTTATTTCTTATCGCAGCCAGTGATTATGTGTCTGTTGAAACGGGTTCTTTGCACTGCAGCCTTCAACACGCTGCATGTGTGAGCAGCATCCTGGGAAGTGGGAGGCAGAGAAGCAGTGGTCTGGTTATTCGTTTAGCTGCACTGCGACTTATTTGTTCAGAGGCAGGTAACCGCACATTTACGTAACGCAGGACAATATGCTATCAGGTTTAGTATTTCCTCTCACATCTAACCTTTTTACTTTGGTGCATCCAGTCATCTCAACAGATAAATGCTTAAGAGGACAGTTTCTCCTCCTCTTCACGGCTGTGAGACGCTGTGACCGCCACACCGACAGCTCGAGGTTCCTACATATTATTTCATTTTTTCAATTTCATCTTTCTGAATATTGCAAATTCTTTCTCTCTGGTACGAGAAAATCAGATGTGACATCTCTGCTGCATGATCGAGCCACAAAGACGGACGCAGCTAAAGTTGAACCCCAGGAAGCAAAGCAGACATGTCTGTATACTGCAGGTGTAGAGTTACTGTGAGATGAGGGGAAGAAGATGACAGATCTGGTTCTGCTGCATCAGTTTTTATTGTTTTAATACTGAGAGCAACAATGTAGGAAGGACGTGCTGAAAATTCTCCTTCAAAGCGTGATGTCACAAAGCGGCGTGGATGCTGTCCAGTCCAAATAAAGAAGTTCAGGCCGATCTCTTTGGTCATGGCTTCAAAACCTCAGCTGAGCTGTGCTCAAAGACAGCCCGGGACCAGATCCTGACCAGACGTTTTGGATCAGCATCTCCCAACCAATAGGAATGCACCATGAAATGAGG